TATATATATATATATATATATATATATATATATATATATATATGCACTTTTATATTTATAACTATGTTTCAAAATATCATATATAAATATCAGTTGTATACACACCAATTCTTAATATTCACATTATATTATAAAAAAAATTTTTTTAAATGATCACACACTGACTCATACAAATTTAATATCAAGCCATTAATTAAACTAATACAAACTACAAAAAAAAATATTTATATGTATAGCTACAGTTTTTAAAAATTCTATATTTTCTACTAAAATTGAAGAGATTGTTAAATTATAATTCTAACTATAATGACTTGCAATTTTAGGTATAATATAAAAATAATATTATATTATTATAATCATGTGATATTATAAATGCAAGTGTAAAGACTCATGTATAACATCCATACATCTTCACAACAAATTTTTATTATTCGAAGAGACAAAATAAGAATTAACAAATGTAAAAAATTTATCTTGAAAGAAATATGAATATTACATATGATTCTCGTTATATATTTTCTATAATAATTTCTTGATTTGGTTGACCTTTTGCTATATGCATGCAAATTTGATTACTAAAAAACAATCTAGCACATTTATATAAAAACAATATTTAAATTACATATGGTATTATGTATCTAATAATAAGTAGTACGTATCTAGTAATAAATAAATTTTGCATCTATTTATTATGAACATTCAACTGTATATAAAAATTATATAACTCGCGTCGTAACAAAGTACTTAGAATAATAGAATGTTTTACAAAATAAAAACAACGAACAGACATATTCACCGCCTAAATACTGTACGAGAAAGATTAAAAGATTTACAAATTACATACATAGCATGTATCACAGCGGTTTGTATAATAATAGTTGATACGGAATTTTTATAAAAACGTAACAATAACATTTTTACGAAATTTATTTTTGTAACAGTGTTAAATGAAATGTACTTACAGCCATCGCCTGCGTCAAGCCTCGTTTGCAACTCTTTTATTTGCATTTCTTTACGTTTTATCTCATGTGTGAGTGTATCGAACCGTTGTCTGAAATCTCTTAATTCCCTGTGGATATACAATATTGCCGTTATTAAATCATATTTAAATGAATAAAAATATTTGTCAATAATATACTTAAAGTAATTACTTTTGAGCAGCAATTAAATCTGAACGTGTCTTTGTAAGTTCTTCAGATATTGCCTGCTTAGCTTGTATTTCACTTTGTAAAGAACTTTGTAAGTTCAAAAGTTCCATTTTATCAAGCTTCTGTGATCTACGATTTCGCCAATTTTTATCTGCCATTGTAGAACCACTTCCTACTCCACCTACACCACCAGAATGTTTTAAAAATTCTAATTCTTCTGTCATTTTTGTAGCCAGTGCCTAGAATTTTTCAAGCATAAAATTAAACAGTTTTTAAGATCATCATCAATAAAAAAGTAAACTAAACAGTACAAACCTGCAAGTATCCTCTAGCATCTTTTTCATCAGATACCCATTGAATAATTTCAGTAATCTGAGCTTCCCATTGTGCAATAGCTTCCTTTTTGTTTCTTAATTCTTCATATTCTTCTTCTAATTGTCGCCTTTCACCTTGTATTCTATTAACACTATCGGTAAGAGTGTTAAGTTCTAACATAAGTTTTTTGTTTTCTTCGACTAGCATAATTTTTTCTCTTTCGTGATGTCTGTTTAATTCATTTATAGTTTCCTCACTATCGGTAATATTTTCTAATCTTGCATTATCTAGTTTTTCTTTCGTTAATTGAACTTCTCTTTCCAATAAATCTCTCCTGGTTTCAGCTTCGTGCAATTGTTCTTGAAGACTACGAATTTCAAGATTAAACCTACTTTGTTGCTGGTTCAAATTTTCATTGTATTGAACTTCGAGTTTTTCAACTTCTGCTTTTAACCTATTAATTTCTTGCGTCGCTAATGCATGATTTGCACTCGCATCATTTCCCATAGACCTTTGTCTAATTTTTTCTGTTTCCTCTTGCATTTGTTTACAATATTCTTCGCTGCGTTCTCTTAATTTTCTTTCTTTACTCGTTTCAGCCATTGCCTCTTCAACTCGATTTTCTAATTCCCTACGTAACTTTTCTGCTTTTCTAATGTCATGTCGTAAACTGTCAACTTTCTGCATTACAACTTCTAATTCTTCTTCTTTATCTCTAACTTGCCTGGATAACTTCTGTTTTTGTTGTCTTAATTCTGATAATTTGTCTGTAACTTCGGTATATTCAGCCATTGCTAGTTTACGCTGTGTTAATGCATCCTTCAATTCTTTATCTTGAAGTTTGAGCTTCTCCTGAGTATCTAATTTATCTTTAATAGCTTCTTCCTTTTCTGATCGAAGAGAGCGTACTAATTTTTCTAATTCCCGTAATTTTGTTATATCGCCGTTATCTAAATTGCGTAATTCACGAGGGACCTCGATAGATTTCAACTGTGATTCTAATTCTAAAAACGTAAAGAAATGTTATGGAATAATATAATTAATAATAATATTCATATATTTATTATGACAGTATTTAAATATGTATATTCACCGCAGTTGCGCTTAGTAAGTGTATTTATTTCATCCTGAAGTTTTCTTGTTGCATTATTAGAATCTGGTGATATTCCAGGAGGAGAATGACTAATTTGTTTTTTTAAATCTTCAAGTGCTTGTATTAATTGTGCATTTTCTTCCTCTAATATTTGCACTCGTTTATCCTTCTGAGTTATAACAGATAAGCAACCCAGATCAGATATGCAACTGTAATTTATAAATACAGAAACATATGAAATACATTTCTTTTTATGTATATAAAGAAGAAAAAGATGCTGTTTACCTTCCTTGAGTAAAAGTAAAACCAACAAATGGTAAATGAAGTGCAGAAAAGGCAGAATTTGCTGCTGGTGGAACAGCATCAGAACTGCGAACATCTGTATCATCAACATCGAAGTTTGATGTGTCAGTTGGTGAAGAAACCTCAGGTATATAAGGTGCAGTACTGTCTCTAAGAGTTTCCCAATTTACTCCTTCAAACCACGGATGTTTCTATGTTATAAAATTAAAGTTAAATATATTAAACTTAAATCAATTATAACCAACATTATTATAACTAACATTATGCGCAATACCTTAAAATCATCAATTCCATTTTGACCTAATCTAAATTCCGAACTACATATTAATTTCCTCATCAAGTCCTTAGCTTCTTCAGAGACTTCATACATATCATCTGCTGGGAAATCAAAGCAATTCTGAAATTAAATAAAATACATATATATTAATATGCATAATTTATATATATAATCATTATAACAATATTATGCCCAATTGTTATAAATATAATTTAAATTATTTTTTAACCTTATGGTTCATAATTTTTCCATAAGTTTCGACTAGAGATTCTGCATAAAATGGTGTTTCTCCATATAACATTTCATACATGCATACTCCTAAAGACCACCAATCACATTCAGGTCCATATTGTCCTTGTCCATCTTCCATTGCCTACATGAATTTCAATGCATTCTTCATTAATTAATTAACATTAATCAATACTAAAATATCAATTCATATGTAATTTAGAAATTATAAAAATAGTATTTAAAATAATAGAAAAATATAATTTTACCCTTAAAATTTCTGGTGAAATATAGTCTGGTGTACCAACAGCAACATTACTTTGTGCAGTGCCATCTTCAAACAATCGTAAACAAGATCCAAAATCTGCTAATCTAATATGACCATTTGCATCTAACAAAACATTATCAGGTTTAATATCACGGTGTACATAACGTAAGTCATGTATGGACCCAATAGCTAGAACCATTTCAGCTATGTAAAAACGTGCCATATCTTCAGGAAGGCGATCTTCAAATTTGCTCAATAGTGTTAAGAGATCTCCACCACAATAATAATCCATGACCAAGTACTACACATGATTATTTAGAAGATATAAGATATTCTTATCTTCATAACTGCTTAATAATTATTATTAATAATGTTTAGAAAAATTACCAAATTATTGTCATCTTGAAAGGCATAATGAAGATTTGTGATCCACCTACGATCACCATATACCAGTACATCTCTCTCTTCCCTGAAGTATGCAGTTTCTGCACGCTTTAACATTTCCCATTTGTTCAAAATTTTCATTGCAAATACTTTGTCTGAACCACGCATTCTTACAACACATACTTCACCAAATGCACCTCTACCAATAACTTTTACTATTTCAAAATCCTCTCGTGCTAATTGCAAACTCTTAATGCAAGTAGCTACTGGTTTTACTATAAAGAGATATATGAATTTTTTTTTAATATGAAACTATAAATTTTTAAAAAATATATATTATGTATATGTATATAATGTACCAAATTCAATAAAATCTGAGACAGTCTTTTCACGCCTTAGGGAAGAATTACAACACTCATCATATAAGACAAGCAAAATATCAATAAGTGTCTCAATAGAAAATGTGTGGCCTACTCTTCCTTCTCCTTGTACAGGGCCACCAATAAAAAGGGATTCTAATTGGCGTAACCTTCCTCCTATGCCTATAAAATAATAATTATTTAATAATAATTATTTAATAATAAATAATAATTATTCATTCTTTTAATAATTTTTTATTTAATAATGTATGTTTTACTTAAAAAAAAAAATTGACAATGTACCATTGATTGCAAGTCCCTTTGGCATTATATCAGGAGGAGGTTGATTATATTGATGTTGCGACGAATCTGACATGTCTCTTTTTTGAAAAGGTTGCCCTTTACCAAAATTCTTGGATACTATTTCTGTCATTCTTAATAATATTGTTCAATAGTATCTCAAACCACCACATTATGATGTGATGACTATCCTAAAACATTTGGTATTTTTTACGGAAATTTGATATAAACCTATAATTATACTACATATTTTAAACATAAATAATACATAAATTAAACATTCAAGATGTTTTTATGTTAATTACTGTTAATTATTCAATATAATATATATATAACATATATATTTTTTAATTCAATCTCTTCATATTTCATTCCATCGAATTTGACAAGTGTTTAATTATAAATACAGAGGATATAATTAAAAATATTGATAAAAATTGTATTTAATTGTAATATCATCAATTAAATGAAATTAACAATTTGTCAGAAATAAAATAAAATTTCAAAAAATAACCCGTTAAGCTACATCCTTATATTTACAAGTACTTAAAAGATCAATTGAAAACATTGAAATACAAATGTTATCTATAACAAGTATAATTGTATGCTAATTATTTACCTGAAGAAAATAATTTCCAATAGACATATCTAAATAGGATCACTTTCACTGTTTAAACATTAATTTTGTTTACAACGGTGCAGCGGTCATTTCCTCGTTTATGTATCGATGGATATAT